GATGGTATTCGCCTAGTACAACCGCTCACTTCATATCTTAGTTGAGGTTCTGGGTCGCTCGCAATACTCTACGTGCACATTCACCACACAGCCATCACAGTAGCACAACTATCAGTACACTTTACTGTGCAGGGCATAGGCGTTATGGGTTGAGGGGTGGCGGCACGGGTCGGTGGGTGTATTTGTATAGGGGCCGTGATCCCATCAGCGGTCGAGTACTGAATGTTCGTAGACGTACCCGTGTTGGCGCTTTTGTCCTCGAGGTGCCAGCTCTGTTTAACACATGCACATTCCTACTATAGTTTGCACCTATACACACGCTCCCGAAACTCAATCCGACTCAGTCTAGTCTTTCGTCGGAGGCGTTTACATCAGTAGAGACTCAGCCTCTGCCCACTTCTCTCCGAAAGCAATCAGGCATGGAGAATCATGGCCATATTACCAAACGGGGAGGTACAAATTATCCATGGTCGTATAGTTGTGATGTTCGGTACAGTAACTGCACAAGTGCATACGCATGGCTGTTGTCTGGTGACACCCACACGACTGTACACGCAGTGGCTCGATGAATATAGAGCGTATGACATAGCATATAGCAGTATTCGGCCTCTGAATCACAAGGACGAAGAAGCGGTCACGATGTGATCTCACACCCAGAGCTCATCTCGCGTATATCATATATACACCCTTTCACGAACCGCCCCATTGCGCTATGCAGCTTCTAGGCTACGCCGATTGCGCAGCGTACCTGGAACAGCTGGTAGTGACTATGGCCAAGAAGAACAACCGGGAGACGTTCAACTGGCGAGACGAACTGAGTGCTTACCGAGACGTCAGCGTGCCTGGGTGAGTCTCGAGGTGCTATATTTAAAAATCGGATCGGTGTAGCCGGAACCCGTAGAGTGGGACATATCCTATTGCTATGTTCATATACCACTGGAGTATCTGTACATTGTTGTTTTATGGCGATTGTGATCTCGGGTGCATCCTGTTCAGTGGGGTGTGTATGTGTGCCGTTCCTTAGACGGTTGTGTACTTGTTGATATACCACTGTAGTATCTGTACGTTGTTGTTTTATGGCGATTATGATCTCGGGTGCATCCTGTTCAGTGGGGGGTGTGTGTGTGTCGCTCCTTAGACGGTTGTGTACTGTCCGCGGTTGTCGGGCCGCGGGAGTACAACAGCGGTCATGTATAACCTGTGCGCTGCGGTCTCTGACATACGACCCAACTCATGCACGCCTTTCGCAGCACCTTATAGCAGCTAGGCAATTTTCGCTTAACTACAGCAAACTCTTGATCTCAAGCAATTCACCTTCCCTACTCAATCGCATGACAGTCTCGAGAGTCTTGAAAATCCGGAGAACAGCCACAAGGTGTCGAACTCGGCTGTGAGTCTACTGCGATGGTGTCTTCAATACAATCCGAAGGTATCTGTGAATCTGGCGGTGACCAGACATTAATAGAGATCCTGATTATTCATTGGTGGTGTGACTATGTCTCTATTTCAATCGGGCTTTGCATGCACAGTACGTTAAAACCAAGTATTGCTAGGCGCAGGACGTGTGTATGTAGTCAAACAATAGGTGCACTTGGTATTTTATTTGTCTTTCATGCTGACCAGTGCTTCGCGGGGCTGTATTGCATACCACTATGATACCGTGCTTCCTGCCAGCGTGCGACTTCGTGTCGCTGTTAAGATACATTGGTATTAATCAGTGCATAGATTCGTACGCTCCCGGGTTTGACTAAGTTATTGAATTGTAAACAATTCGTACTATGTTCCTGTGGCAGAGTTACCATGATAACGTCCAGCCTCATTTGGAGTGGCACGCAATAGCAGGGTTCGTTGTCGACCAGCGTTCACTGCGTAGTGCCTTACTACAACGCCCTGCACGTCAGCTTCCATGTGTGCAGAATAAACTAACCCACACCTACCCACTCACACCCCTTTAAATACTTTATCACATACAGGACCGCCCCACGCCTTCAGAGGCACTGGCACACCCCTACCTCAACCGGTGACACACTAACATGCTATGCTGTGAATCTCGCCTTACGCAGAGCACTGCAGCTACTCTATTGCCTTGCATCGAACCATGCCAGTCGCCGAGAGATGCTGTAACCATGTGGTTATAGAAGCTGTAACCATGTGGTTATAAAAGCTGTAATCATGTGGTTATAGAAGCTGTAACCATGTGGTTGTGGGCTATTCATTCCGAATGCCTCAACTTGGGCGCTCGTATACACTGCGGCGTGGGGGTACCATACTGACTGCTCTTATCTCGTACAGACAGATATATGGTTACACCTAGAAGCTCCTCGCACTATTACGGCGACCCATTGACAACCAAATGATCTGAGTAGATCATTGTACAGATGCTCATGTCGCGTCGCGGGGTTTAGCAGGAGCGCACCGCGCCAATCCGCGCCAGTTCTGGACGGGCGACTCAACACAGATGAGTTCGCACACCCGCGGGGTAATCTAACACGCCCCCTTGGCGCTATAGTCCGTGGCGATCGTTCTGAGACTTTCGTACGCTTGCTTATGAATACCGGTTCCCCAGTCCTCCATATTGCTGACGGAGCTAGAAATATCCTTCTTAATGGTATCGACGACGGTGGCTGGTGTCGCGTCATCGATCTCGGTACTTTTTGCCTGTGAATGGGTAGGAGGAAAGGTGGATGAGGGCCGATATACGATTGAAGAACTCGGATTGCACAATTCTGCACCCGCCGGCAATACCGCACTGTTATACTGTGCTATGCTTTTATGAGCTACTGCAAGTCGTGCTGTGTACGAGCAAGATATATAGATGAGTGCACGTGACACCTCATTTCCTAAACAATAAACAAAGTGAAAGAACATATAAACTTACTGTGAGTTCGCTCTCTAGCTGAGCTTGTTCTTCCTCCATTGTTCTGTACCAAGACTTCTTATTTTTGTTCCTTGCCTCTGCTGCGGGCAAAGACATATCGCCGAATTTCGTGAAGTATGTTTCGTCCAGCGTATCATTGCTTGGTCGGCATGTAGCCGCTTCAGTTTGAGTTCGGTACTCTTGCACGAACTTCAACTCCTCCACCAGCAGGTCTTTAAGGTATTTCTCTAGCGCAAACACTTCGGTGGCCGCCACTGATTGGAAGGCCCCGAACGAATTGGCATCATCACGTCGGTCGTAGTCAGTCACAGGGCGTACGGCAGGAGGATACGGCAGTGGCGCTTGCTGCTTGTTGTCGGCACTTGCAGGTCCGACAGTCAGCACGGTGTCAACGTTCTTTTTGATTGGGATGTCACGCGTACGATCGAACCCGTAGTGCTCTTCCGATGCGGCATCGACAAAGGTGAATTCAGAACTCTCCACCCGTGTGAGTTTGGCTTCGCAATCCTTGTCGCCTGTCACTTTGAGTTCCACGGGCTTGTTGCCCTTGTACACCCACTTGGCTGAGATGTTGCAGTCGTCACGGTCCATACGTTGCTGATAGAACTCGCGAAGGTCGTCTTGTTTCAATGAGAACAGCGGTAGGTCCTTGTACTTCAAGAACTCGCCGGCCACTGCCTCAATCCACATGGTGATCAGTGACTGCACGCGTCCTTCATATTCAAAGAACCGAAGATTGGCCTGATGAAACATGTATGGGTCAGTGCGGTAGGCCAGCAGATTACGCCCTGTTTCATACGCTTCGATAGATAGGATCTCCGTGATATCCAGGTCACGCGTGTATTTGAATGTCTTGATATTGCACTTCCAGGGGTGTGTTACCTCCTCTGTGCGTTGGTTCCCATAGCAGTTAGGGCCGTAGATACTGGCGTGCTCCATCTCGCTCTCTAGAGGGAGGGATACGTCAAAGTACACTCGAGTAGCATACCGTGGGATGACAAAAATGCGACGTCCCGATTCGTCAGCTACTTTGGTAAGGAATCCATGCCAAGGGTTATCGGGCATCAGATCAAGTCGTGAGTTATCTCCCACGGCTGATGTGATACCTAAGTCCGACATGGCGCGGATAGACTCGGTGTGATTCAAGCCCGAAATACGTGGTGTGACCAGAGACTTTGCAGACCAGGTGGGGTAGGTGGCGAGATCTTGGTCGTTGATATCAAAGAAAAGCTCATTCTCGGCCATCCACTTGTTCTTCTCGAGCTCGAATTTGACATCTTCGTATGCTGTGAGGCCATATGTGGCACAGTCACTGAAGGGGCAGTACATATCTAGATGTCTCCATGTGTGAGATACCCAGAAGAAGTGATCACGTTTCTCAATGGTGACTGGGTTGCAACTGTCGGGAAAGTCTGCGAAGTCAAACCAGCCGGCCCCATTAAAGGCGATTTCCATGACATACCGCGAGTTTTCGGGTAGTCCTTCATTGAACATGTCTTGCCACTGTGTAAGTAGCTCGATATCGGTACCACTCGTACGATAGACCGGCTCTTCGGCAAGCGCCTGTCGATCAAGTGTTGAATTGTACACACCGGTGGCCAGGAAAAAGTCATCCACTTGTGTGTTTAACGGCACACGTCGCATACCCGGCCAGACGCCTCTAGTCATCCACGTAAACCATATATCGGAAACAACAAAACCATGCTGTCCATAGATGTTGCTGTTGACAAGAAAGTGCATTTCTTCTACGCCGTTCTTCTCCATGGTGAAACCTCCTACCCATTCGATATCCTTGCACGGAGTGTCAGAGTTGGCAGCCTGGGTCAGCTGTAACACACGGGCCTCGTTAGTGCCAGCACAGCTGGGCTTCATTTTCATGAATGGCTTGATGTGCGTAGCGTCACTTGCCAAAGTGGCAGGATAGTACCAGTAAATTGTACGGACAAATTCGCTGACTTGACCGATTACGAACTGAGAGTCCTGTTTGATATGCAAAAGCAGACTTTTGGCATAGTCGCTGTCATAGAACTCAATGAGCGCATCTTCGGATGACCCACGTTCCAAACCCGGATATGGAATAAGCGCTTCATCAGCCAATGATGAAGATGCAAGCACCACTTTGCGAAGTTTGTACTGCCTACACATCTCATCGATCGCATCCCACGTCTCTGCGTCTAATACGGACTGGAACACCTCTTCCCCCTCCACTTCTGCCACATATCCCAACTGGAGGTTCTCCAAGACCACTGAGTTGTACATAGGATTTCCGGCAGTATCATATAAATACTTATGTAGGTCTTGTGCTGCCTGACTAGGTTTGGACGTGGCTTCATCGATCAGGTATATCATGTCATACGGCATCTGCATAGAGTCTAGGATCCACTCTGGATAGGAAGCCAGCTCAGCCTTTGTCACAAGCACCAAAGCCTTCAAGGGAAGCTCAAAGTCGCCAGAAGCAGGGGCCGCGTCAGCCATCCGTCCTACAAGGGGGGTGACAAGAGCCACGAAGTATACTAAAGTATTGGTCAGCATTTTGTTACAAGCTGCTATATCTACGAAGTGGACTAAGTGGATATATCAGTATTGACACCGACTGCTTAATAAGTGGTGATAATACTTATTAAAAGCGTATGATTGATAATTGAAGTTGACCCCAGTTTTATATTCAGAATGCCAAGGAAAATTGCCTGGTTGTTTAGACCTGAATGCCGGCATTGGTTTCCGATGTTTCTCAAGAATCAAGGTAAATAAATACTTAGGACACAAGTATCTCTTGTGCTTCCATAGCGCGAGTTAGCTTACATCTGCCTTTTGGGACTCATAGTCTCAACCTTGTCGACTACTACAACTGAAAATTGCAAGTCAGATACACAGCGCTATGAGTTACTGCTATAAGCATTAATCTTTATAACTAATATAGTAACTTCACATAAAACAAATTTTAGGTTCCAAGTCCCGAGTGGCCGAGTCGCCATCTACGCACAGCCTCATTGGCCTAGAGCTTCGAAATTTGAGTATCAAAATTCAAACACACATGATTGCCATAGAGGTTTAGTTTTGATTGGTCAGTAGTTTACTGAAACAAGTTTGATTTGATGTAGCGCACTCAATCCGTGGCAACTATTTAATAACTGTGTAGTATTTATGTCCTGAGTACTCTCTTGTAAATAACAACATATGACTATATGTTCATATATGCAGACATCTGCCAGTGGCTGGGCTGGTAAAACACGGGCACCTTCCGCTGTCTCTTCAGTGTCTCGAATCTTGACCTGCGCCTTTTTTGTTAAACACGTGACATTAATATCAAAAATTGACCACACAATGGGCTGTTCTCTGTGTATATCATAGAAGAATAATACTTGTCGTGGTAGTGACTTGGGGCGTCATTTTCCGGCCTTCATAATTCATATTTTCAAAATACTAAAAATATAACATACATACGACTGTATTTTTTAAATTGATATTACAAAACATACTATTATTTACACTGTGACATGACTTTATTGTATATCAGTCCAGGCGGCTGGAGGTGAAATACTGAGCATCGTTGGTGGACTCCTATCTAAAACACACGTTATTAGCTAGAACGCTGTGTGGTTATGTATCTTAAAATCATTGTTATAAAGTGATACTAATGAGTTTGCCGGCAAGTACAAGGTGGAGCTTCGATAAACTTACTTGCTGCAAGAGCGATATTGGGAGATGGACATCAGATGTAGGTGTCTATATATTAGCGGCATGTATAAAATTTCAATTCACAGCATCTGACTATGCACTGAGTATACATTTCTGTATTCCATAAATATCTCGTAATCATAATTGAAGCATTTGCAGCCACGCACGTAATCGAAATCAGATCGTACTCAAAATAAGAGTATATATATATATATATATATGTATGTATGTATGTATATATATAAATATAT